AGATACATCTAGAGTAACTAACTCTAGTTAGATACATTTAGAATAACTAACTCTAGTTGGACAAATTTAGAGCAACTAACTCTAGTTGGATATATTTAGAACAACTAACTCTAGTTGGATACATTTACAATAACTAGCTCTAGTTAGATACATTTAGAGTAACTAACTCTAGTTGGATACATTTAGAGCAACTAACTCCAGTTGGATATATTTAGAGCAACTAACTCTAGTTAGATACATTTAGAGTAACTAACTCTAGTTGGACACATTTAGAGTAACTAACTCTAGTTGGACACATTTAGAGTAACTAACTCTAGTTGGATACATTTAGAGCAACTAGCTCTAGTTGGATACATTTAGAGCAACTAGCTCTAGTTGGATACATTTAGAGTAACTAGCTCTAGTTAGATACATTTAGAGTAACTCTAGTTGGATACATTTAGAGTAACTAACTCTAGTTGGATACATTTAGAGCAACTAACTCCAGTTGGACACATTTACAATAACTAATTCTAGTTGGATACATTTAGAGTAACTCTAGTTAGATACATTTAGAACAACTAGCTCTAGTTGGACACATTTACAATAACTAATTCTAGTTGGATACATTTAGAGCAACTAACTCTAGTTGGACACATTTAGAGTAACTAACTCTAGTTAGATACATTTAGAATAACTAACTCTAGTTATATACATTTAGAGCAACTAACTCTAGTTAGATATATTTAGAGCAACTAACTCTAGTTGGACACATTTAGAGTAACTAACTCTAGTTAGATACATTTAGAGTAACTAACTCTAGTTATATACATTTAGAGCAACTAACTCTAGTTAGATATATTTAGAGTAACTAACTCTAGTTAGATACATTTAGAGCAACTAACTCTAATTGGATACATTTAGAGTAACTCTAGTTAGATACATTTAGAACAACACTAGTATCATCACCTGTAATTCCTGACCCTGAACACAGGCCGCCTTGCTAAACTAATCCTGTGGAATAATTTTTCAGATCAACATAATTGAAATGTAATGAAGTTTATAAAGTGTTCTGTGGGTCAATCACCCTTAAGTTTTCTTCTTTTTCCTAAAGCTCGAAAGAATTGCAGATTCCAAAGAGCAAGTCTTCCCTGTCAAAGGTGGATT